TAATTTCTTTTAAAGAAAGTAATTTCGTTAACTAAAATTAATTAATGCAGCAATTTATTTAAAATAAATTTTAAAACTAATAAAATAAAATAATAAAAGCATCAATAATTTGAAGCACTGTTTTTTAACTTTTAAAATCAATATGTATAAAAATCAGTTGATTTAAATCAATGATTTTTTTAAAAAAATCATTTGATTTTAATCATGATTTAAATCGTGATTTAAATCAAGCTGATTTAAATCAACGAACCCTGATTAAAAGTCCGTAATGTCTTTTATATCTTTAGTGAAGTTACTTTTATAATGAAAATTTTTAAGTCTTAAATTTAATATTCAGTGAGAAAGAAAATTTAAAAAGAGGTGAGTGAACAAAATGCAACTCACTTTGCAACGTTGAGATCGTTTGATGTGCATATACTTGTTTTGAATGTTGAGTTCTGCAGTTGAAACTGGTTGAAATTGGGGCTGAAACAATCTTTGCTTCAAAGTACACACTAAAAAGTAAAGAAATGGTAAGCATACAAAATCTAATATGTACATCTAATATATACTACTAGTCAATATATACTATCTAATATATATTAATAGTCATTACAAAAACACAGGTAAATCAATCATATACTAGATTTAAAAAGAGAAGCAAAAATTTTTCTCTTGGGAATTCTTTTAGACATGTACACTTATTTCCTTACTTATTTTTAAACTTAACTTTGGAAATGCATGAAAGCAAAGATGCCAACTGCTCCGGACAAGCCAAAATAATGTTTAAAACGGTAATTAACTACTAACTAACATTTGCAAATATTTGGTAAATTTTGCTTATTTTATAGAAGGTTTAGCATACCTTAACTTTACAAAGTGGCAAATTATATAAGCTTTCGAATCATTTAGAAATAGTGGTGGATAAAAACCTAATAAATCGAATTTATTAAACTAAGAATCACACATTAAAAAACAACCACTCGAAAATATTTATCCGTTTTCCTGAGTAAGTTGGCATCTCTGTAAAAGTAGTAAACAGACTTTTAGGATTTATAACTTTTTTCAGTGTTATTTGTTACCCGTACTTCAAAATACATATAATTAAAATATTTTTTTTTAAAACTTATTAATAAGCTTCATATATAATTATTTGCACTTCTATAACTAATTTTATTATTTCCCTTAACTCCCATACAGTTATGCACATTCAAATATCTTACACATAGTAAAGCTTCTAAATTTTTTAATGCTATAGCAACCACCTATCTAGATAGAATTAGATAGGAGAAATATGACAATTCATAGCAGAGTTTTCTGATAAGAAAGGGAGGTGAAACAGTCTGAATGGCAATTGTATAATACTAAAAATGAAAATACAAAAAACCCCAGTGAGTTAAAAGCACCATTAAACATAAAGATAGTTATTTATAATATGTAATTTATGGCCCATTTGAAAATAGTGCCCAAGCCTCGTACCCCATATTCTAGTTTTGTTAGAAGAAATAGGGAAAAACATACCAGTTGATAAATTCAAAGGCTCAGTTAAATAATGATCAGGAAGAGGTTCTACATCTGAGGTAGCTTCTGGTATAGTTAACTGATCAGCATTCTCAGAATCTCCTTTACTGTAAAAAAATAATTATGAGTTTAAAAATCAAATGAATTAAAAATAAGTGTCATAAAAAAGGGCTAAAAAAATACCTGAACGTAGGAGGTAGATGAGCTAGTTTTCTTACAACAGTTGGGGACATGCCATATTTGTCCTAAAAAGGCATCGAATTTATAAAAATGACTAAATAGACAAAATAAATAAATAAACACAATGAATTTATTTTTAGAGTTTGTTGTAAAATGGATTTTATGAACAGCTATAAACAGGCACTCCCATTAATCAATTGAAAACAAAAAATTTTAAATCTTTTAAAATTATTATTCAGCAACATCAAGTCTCCTTTTCATAAACTACCAGCCAAAGAATTTTATTAAATAATGAATATTTATGAAGGGTTGTGGGCACATATTTATTTCTGATCAATCAAAATTTGTTGTGATTAATTAAAAAAAAAAAATTAAAAAAAAAAAAAAAACTCTTTGGGGCAAAAATAGATAAAGGGGAAAACAAAACCTCTAACTAAGTAAGCCAATAAGTTAAAGATCAATTTTAGAAGGACAAAGTGCTATCATACTGAAATAAATTAAACTAAAGGGAAGAAACGAAACCACTTTATATGCAACTAAAATAGCAATAAAATAAATTATTCATAACTAAACTTCAAGGCTTATAAGCAGCGATAACACACTCTTCTAAGTCAAATGTGCCCAAATATCATAGAAAGTACAGTGAGAAAAAAATAATAGCTCGCCAGTAGATTTAAAAGGACAAAATAGAACCGAACATTAAAATAAATAATTCTGAGTTTCAGTTCTAATTAAAAATCTTGAGTTTAAATATAATTATCTTCTTGTTTTCAAATTCATTGTTTTTATATCAACAGATGGAATTTTTATAAATGTGCCTATTAGTAATTCGATAAAAATGTAGACAATTTATTAACTGCTCAATATCCCAGATCATTTTTATGTTGTTTTTTTTTAAATTTTAAAACATTTAAAGAGCAAATTTATTTTATTTTGCAAAGAATTTTGCAATTTTTGAAAATTTAGAATGTTTTAACTAATTCAGATTATTTTAAATTGAGATCTGCTCTGAATCAAAAAGGAACAAGAAATTTGGAAATCCAGAGTTCAAACATCCATAGTTTCCAAAATCTAGCATAATTAATCATGAACTATAAGAAACCTTCCTAAAATATATAAAAAATTATTTACTACAATCATAATTACAAATTCTTTACATGGATAAACTGTTTTTTTTTTTAAAATATCATAATGATAAAATATTTATAATAAAATCAAGAAAAATGTCTACTTACAGTATAATGCAAGTAGCTAAAACGTTGGCTTATTTTCTTTCTTTCTTTCTCTAATTTTTCCTTCTGTGCAAGAAGTCTATAGTATTCCATTAACTGAGAAATCTGAAGAAAAGTTGGAAGATTTTAAACAAAAATCACAAAAACACAATATTTTTATAATTTTAAACATTGAGCAAGTTAACTGTCTCAAAAAAACTTAAACTTAATTTACTTATAAAAATATGTGGATAAAATAAACAATTATAAATAAAGAATTGCCCTTTATTTTTTCAAAATATACAAATTGCAAAAAATTTCTTCGAAAAATATCAGCAATTTAAAGAGGGAAAATTAAATCAAAAATTAAAAACAGAAAATTCAGTCAATTTAAAAAAGTCAATTAAAGGCAGAACATTGAAAATTATTAATATTAGGGAATCAATTATATTTATCAAAACCTACACTGTGCAAAAAATTTCCTAAAAAATACCAGAAATTTAAAGGGGACAGAAGTGAAAAATTTAGAATTATTATTATTATTAGGGGATCAAAATAGAACAAATTTATAATTCGCTGATACAGTGGCTGTTTTGAGTTAGAAAATTAATTGAATTTAAAATAATTTCTAAAAATGTAATAGGAATGCACATAAGTTTTAATATCAAGCTTGCACAGATTAGTTAATAAAAAGAATTTTCAATGATATAGAAAATGGAAATAGAATTCCTTTTACATTTTATCGGAAGTTTCTTCCCTCTTTTTTCAATAAAAAATATTAATAACCATACAACTTAAGTTACCAAAATGTAATTTATTTTTGTAGAAATAGAGAGCTATGTATTAAACTTTCCAAAACTATAATAACAATCCCAAATAATTTCATACAAATACTTATAAATTAACGTAGTTACCTACAAAATGATAGTTGCTTAGATTTTAATTTTACTAGCTTTATTTTGAAAATAATTTCGGTCTAAATAATCTCGTAATTTATGTTGCTAAAAACTAGATTTAATTCTTAGACAAGCTGGTATCAATCAATCTAAAGCTGGGTGGGCTTTAGGCATCTGTGGGGGAGATTTGAACCCCAGTCCTTCATAATGACAGCTTAGCGTCTTTTACCAATGAACCAATGCAGATCAACTACAGCAGAGAAGTGAGTACAGTTATAAAATTAAAATTGGTTTACAAGTTGTTTTACTTAATTAATGAACTATTTAATGATTTCATTTTACATTAAATTAAATGAAAATTTAACAACTAATCAGAATTCAATACAATTATTTATTAGTTATCAAATTAAGTCCTATTCATAATCTTATTTAGCATGTACAAAAAGGTAAGGCATAATATTTTTTAAAGGATATCTTTAGGCCTTAATTTCTAAACATATTACGTTATATGCTATTTTATTTAAAATAAACTTATCCTAATTCTCAACGAAAATATTAGTGAAATTAGATAGCAAAGTATACATTTTAACTTTATGTTTTATAATTTTATCATAGCAAGGTAGAACATAGATAGGAAGAAAAAAAAGTAAATATAAAGTGAGCAAAGAATACTCCAAAAATGCTACAAATATATTTATATAAAAAATCAGTGTTACAAACAAATAATTTTTCAAAAACAATAGAAAAAAAATAAAGAAAGAAGCAACCCTTCGAAGGGTAACACTTTACTCAACGTATCTTCATGTACAGCATTTAAATAAAGTGCTGAAATCAGCTGCTAATTGAAAGCACAAAGTTTTCGTTTCCTTTATTTTATAATTTTTTAAAAAGATAAATAGGAAAAATTAAAAGTAAACAACTCATTAAATACAAAGCCAAAATTTAAAATAAAGTAAATATTTAATATTTGAAAAAATATTTTAAAAATTAATCTCACTTTTTTGGTTATTCTAAGAATTTGCAATACTAACAAATGAATTACAAAAACTATTCCTTACCCTTTTACTGTGAGGATTTTCTGGTTCTTGCCAACCACCACTCGCTGAAATGGAATAATTAAATACATTATTGGAACATACATCAAGATACATTTTACTAATTCCAAAATACCTCTCTACACTATGGTGATGGATTTTATGGGGGTTTAACTACTGCAACTGATTGTATAAGAAAAGAGTCATGAACTGAGGTACTATTATATTATACAAGGTGTTCAAAAATGGAGTGATGTTCTGAAAAGACACTTAAAGAAAAAAGGAGATATTGAAAAATATAGTTTTCAGCATTTTGATCAGGAAACCAGCTATTCATTCTTTCTAAGGTTCACAACTGTTTATAAAATACATCAAAAGAAAGAGCTGCAGCCTGAAAAATAATGTTTCTGTTAGCATTTTAGACCATACTACGTTTTTGCTGAAAATTGTGGATTTTTTTTTAGAAAACAATGTTTCATAATTTTGTTCAGTTACAGGCATCACCCGTTCATCAATTCTGTAACTCGATGAGAAATTTTTTCTAGTTTTATAAACAGAACACAGATAATGAAGCATTTTCACTTCTTAGCATTTTCTTCTTATCTTAAATTGGCTTTTTAAACTGCCTTTATTTTTGGTGCACTTGATATGTGATCTTCATTAAATTATTAATGTTCTGAGTCATTTTTTCTGAAAAGATCTTATAAAATAAATCATAAATTTTTTGCTTCTTTATTTTACTATTGATGACTAGTGATATATAATAATAAAAAAAATCAATTTTTCAAATATTCTGCCCCTTTCTTTAATTTTAAAGTAGAGGTTTGCCCTTAATTCATTAATTTCCATACACAGATTTATAAATTACTGCCTTATGATTAACTTTTCCAAGCTATTACAAATTCTTTAGGAGAAAAAGTAATTTTTAACAAGCATCTTAAAAAGCTGCAACCACAGTCTTAGAACAGTTTTAAATTTTTTTTTGACACATTTGTTAAAGTCTCGCAGTATATGTGTTTAACTTCAATATTATAATTTAAATTTTATGTTACAAATTTGTCTTTATAAGTTCTGCATAGTAAAAAAAAACATTATTTAAAATTTAAAAAATTTACAAGATTCTAATCAGGGTTGAAGTTTTTGCCGGCAAAACGAGTTTTTTGCCAGGACAGTGGCAAAAACCTGGTAAAAACCGTCAAAAACTGGTAAAAACCGGCAAAAACCAAATTATCTAAATTGCTGATTAAATATTATTACAAAATACTTGAAACAAATTTAAATCAATCATAAGGAGGTAATTGTTCTC